TCCCTGTCCTCAAATAACGGGATATGCATAGTATCGTAAACATTGGAACTACATCAGTCGAGTCATAATGCTGTACCCAGACTAAACCAGGTGCAAGCAAGCCAATTTGTTTTCAGAGCGATGCCGTCAACTGCCTCGCCAGCAGACAATTCTCTGCTTTGAAACTCTCTGCTGAGCTACTCTGATGAGAGTACCTCAGAAACTGGCAATGATTTAACTCAGACTGTGACAATCCCAAGGCACCGAGGCAGCCAAGAATAATAGTTATCTGCCCGCAGATATTTAGGGTTGGACTCTTGTCATAAATAATCCCTCCAGGTCACTCTGGCATCCATTTGAAGAGTGTCTGATTTCAGCTCTAAGAGGGCCAAAAGGCAGGCATAACACTGCTGCTGCAGTTTCACGTTAAGCTGATCTAAACTAAGCCAGGAAAACTGCAAGGCCGATTCTTTCATTCCTGAAATGACTAGCTGCAGGAGTGGGAGAGGATGAGCAACCATGAAGGAACAGCTGTGGTCATCTGCTATTTGCCATTCCAAATCCACTGCTCTAAGGGCTGCCTTCTGCAGCACCCCACCCCTTTCTGGAGGCAGTGATGGTTGACTAGGAATAGTTAACCTGTCTGGAGACTAGCAGAAAAACACTAATATTTTTAATTTTTTTTTTTTTAAACACTAACAAAAGCTGGATACATCTGTGGTAGGGAAGCACAATGGCTTTGCTGGAGCAGTTTTTGGATGCAGGCAGAGGACAGGGTCAGTGTGGGAGCCTCCCTCCTTGCCAGGGTCAGGGAATACTGCTCTTCTACACAGGCAGGGCCCAGGCAGTGGTCATGGGAGAGGGCAGAGACAGTGCAAGCACTGCGTACCCACCACAAGGTACTAATCCAGGCCCCTCACCCCCTGGCAAGTCAAGAAAGACAGAACGATGGAGGCAGATTCCAGGCCAGCCCAGTAGGAAAAGCTCCTAGATACGAAAGCAGCAAGGGGTGATACGGCTTCTTTAGGTGGAGCCAGTAAAGCAAAGGAACAGCATCAGTTGGCAGAGCTTTGTGCTAAGGAGCTTCTAGGAAAGGGTAGCAGGCAGACAGACAGACAGACTGATTTCCTGTTGCAGGCTGACCCTGGGGACCAAAAGACTCTCGCCAGCTTGTAGCTTCCATCACATAAAGAGTTTGTAACGTTAAATTTCTGGATTTCTGAAGTGAATATCTGATTTTACCAGGCCCCTTCATGGATGAATCGCACCCACAATTTTGGCTAAAGGAGCTGTTCCTGCAGCATCGCATGAAAAGATGCGTATGTACCAGCTTTCTTTAAAAGGAACAGGCTCCATCTCTTGTTCTTTCCCCATCTTGATCCACCTGTAACCTAACAGAGAAGAGGCCTAGACTAAACAACAGACTCCACAGGTTCAGCAAACAGAGCAGACACTCTGAGGAAGATTTCCAGCCAGAAATGGGCAACGAGGTGACAGCAGCAGTAGCTGGGAAGCAGGACTGGACTGGTTTCAGATCTACAGGGGTGATGGGAGACAAACACGGAGCACACCAGGAGAAAGCTATGGCACAATGGACACCAAGGATGATGGAAATGAACTGAAGACAAGACAGCTAACGTGGTGGATTCGCTGAAGAGACACGCACGGGGGTAACAAATGCCAGGCCATGCAATCGCCAAAGGGTCTAACCTGAAAGTTCTCAAAATGCATCAGGGACTTGCAGTGTGCGAGCCGGGCAGCAGAGTCGCTATGGTAGAATTTGTGACACAGCCTGCAGAGGTAACCTGCGACGGGGACCAGAAAATCCAGGCCTGCGAAACGGGAGGGGAAGGGAAATCACAGATCACATTGAATGGAACTCAAATAATGAAAGCATGTTAAAAGGGAAGGGGAGGGAGAAAAAGAAAAGTGGAAAGCTTTGCTTCTGTTAATCGGGAATTTGCAAGATAACTTGCTGAATATCTCATCT